CAGAGAGAAACCTTTCCTTACCTGGACCCAGCCACCCTAAGCCAAAGAAGACACGACGTTCCTTAAGCTACGAGGTGAAGTACAAGATCATCCAAGAGTTGGAGAAAGGAACAAGACAGGTTGATTTGGCGCGCCAGCATGGTGTGAACGAATCTACGATCCGGACAATAAAGAAAGATGCAGCCAAGATAAAGGAGCACATGAACATCACAAAGTCTACAGGTGCTTCTATGATCAAGTTTTGCCACAACCAGGTGCTTCTTAAGACAGAAAAATTACTTGTGAGCTACTTGGTGCGTCAGGCGCGACGGAACATGGCGGTGGACACGCGCTCAGTTAAGGAGTACGCACGTGAACTGTATGCTGCAGTCTCACGAAAGATGGGAATTACAGAGCCCAAACACTTTAATGCTTCCTCTGGGTGGTTACAGAGGTTTAAGAAGAGAAACAAGATCACCAATATCAACATTGGTGGTGAAGAAGCTAGTGCTGACCGTGTTGCGGCTAGGGAATTTCCTCCGTTTTTACATGAGATTATGGAAGAAGGACAGTACAACGACGACCAGGTGTTTAACATGGACGAATCTGGTCTTTTTTGGAAAAACTACCTTCCAAGACCTTCGTTGTGAAGAATGCCAGCAAGTGTCGGGGCCGGAAGTTGCAGAAGGAGCACATCACCGTCCTGTTTACCACCAATGCCTCTGGTACCTGTAAGCTCAAGTTATCGGTGATCCACACAGCACGCAAGCCGCACGCCTACAAGAGCATGAACATGACCAAGCTAAATGTCCACTGGCTGACCGCACGTAAGGCGTGGATGTTCTCTACACTGTCCCTCTCCTGGTTTGATGACTGTTTCGTTCCCGATGTGAAGAAATTCTGTGAGCAACAGAATGTGCCATTGAAGATTTTGTTGCTGCTGGACAACGCACCAGGACACTCGCCCCTACTGTTAGATTGTCACCCCAACTTAAAAGTGGTCTTCCTTCCTCCCAACACTACGTCTATATTACAGCCCATGGACCAAGAGTTAATCTGTAATGTAAAAGCTGCATTCTCTACTAAAAAATTCAAGCTCCTGAACAACTACACCAACACCAGGGAAGAGTTGCGTAACCTGAGTGACACCAACACCGATAGCAAGAGCGAAGACGACAAGGATGAACAGTTGGCAGAGCAAGAGGTACTTTTAAAACAATTCTGGAGAATATTCAACGTTAAGAAAGCTGTGGACTTCTTGGTGGAGGCATGGGATCAGCTGTCTGTAGCAACTGTTCGTCACGCATGGAGACATGTGTTGCAAGGCATTCCGGGCGTAAGGCAGAGTCAATCTGTGACTGGTGAGGTTCAGACTGTTGCAGTAGCAGTGGACCTTGCCAGAGAAGCTGCGCAGAGTGTTACAGCTGCAGGCTTCTCCGAGACCACCAACGACGACATCCTGGAGGTGATAAGGGATCCTGATGTGACTACCGACGACATGGTAGATGATGATGACGTCAGTGAAGAGGCAGGTGGTGCGTCATCCCAAGAAGAACGCCGCTTATCCCATAGTAATGTTAGGGGTGCCATCGAGTGTATCGAGAAAGCCAAGCTCCTCCTTTCCGACGACCCTGACGCAAACAGGTATGAAATCTTCGCTACCCAGCTGTTGTAGAATATGGAGCCCTACATCAAGGTTTATCACGACAACATAAACACCAGCCGTCAGCAAAGCATAACAGAGTTCTTCGCCCGCAACCCACCACAGCCAGCCCAAGCCAGTGATAGTGACAGAGGTAGAGACAGTGATGATGACTTTGAGAGATCTGTCAGGGAGGCCCTGACAAGTGTGGATAACAGTGATGGTGACTCACCTGAGGGCCAGTAGCCTGCCCTCTGCCTCGGAACCAGCCTCCATTCCCGTACGCCGACCCATCTCTTCTACTAACATAAGTGTTAACCCCAACCTTGTTTTTTTCTAACCTAACCTCCAGTTTATTGACTGTTCCCTTCTATATTATGTGTGGGTGAATACCATCATAAAGTTAAGATGTTATTTTTAGTAAAACGTACGTATTGTGTCGGGAAAAAGTGGAGTTTGGGGGTTGGCCCAGTCTCTATTTCAATTAATCCCATATGTTATGTTGTTCACTTTACGCGGGCGCCGTGGGTTGAATTAACCGCGTAAAGTGAGGGTTCACTGTATTGCTGAAGTTGTAAATAGAAAATGATTACTATCCAGTTTAAAATTTATGTGCCAAACAATTAACATATTATTCTGTAAAAGTGCCTCTAATTAAATTGCACCTGAATATTACAAGTGCGTTGTTTACTTCCACTACCGAGTCTACCATCTACAGCATCTAATACGGTAAATAAAAACACCTTTATCAGTCAAATTTTTTGTTTAACCCATAAATGATGGCTAACATTTTATGTAGAGTATGTAATGTTTATAATGGGGATACTGTACAGTGGTCATCTCATATCTATTAGCTCTCAATAGGCCACTGACCTGATCCTGAAATACTGTCATCAAGAAGATTATCCCTAATCCCCACCCTACCTCAACTCGGGAGACAGGTCATGTGACATGAGTTCTATGTCTTTCTTCCTTGCTTTGTTCTGTTTGTTGACTGAAGAGGATCTTAGTATACCAGCTCCAAGATCTTTTATTTCTCCATTGTGGGTTTATACTTCATTTACCAGTGTAACCATTACGCTTTCGAACATCATCTACATAATGTCAGCTCACCTCGTAATGTAAGTGTGACATTTATTTATTCCTGTATTATTTACTTTATTATTACTTTAAAATACTGTAGTGTGCTGTATACAGTACAGTATTTTCCATATTTCTATGCCACATTACAGTATTGTAATGATGCGCACTTGGAGCAGAGAATCCCCAGTTTTTTCGACTTCCCTCCCAAATTGTTCACAGTGAGTTGAAAATCATCAAATCAAAATTGAAAAGCGTTAAACAACAAACGGTATTACAAATTTTATATCGCTAAACCGAAATACAGTATCACTAAGTGAATGATCACTAAACGAAGGGTACCTACATATCACATAAGTAGTGGTATTAAAGTTTTGGGTTGCCATAAAAAGCCTTGGCTTTCGCTTCATAACTTTTCGAACAGCTGGCTTTGGCTTTGTAACTTTTCAATGGCTTTGGCTTTGGCTTCAAAACTGAAGGCTTGGCTTTGGTCCCATGTCTGATTACTAACATTATCATCATGACGAATCACTAGAAAACAGAAATATAGCTGCATTTAGGATGATAACAAAAATACTTTACTTTTACTTACAGTAGGTTCTCAAATTTCGCAAGTTTTTAATTCGACATTTTTCATTTGGACACAAAAAAAAACCACTACACAATTACAAATTTCAACGGCGGAAACTCGAACTTTGACGGGTTTGAGCGGCCCGCCAACGTTCAGACGTGCACAATTGTGTAAACAGCAACATTTCTCTTATGTACAAAAGATTCATTATTGTTCATTACTGAATGTCTTTTTGATTGAATTAATGTATATGTGTGCAAAATGAACAATACAATTCATAAATAATACGTAGAATATTAAAACACACCAGGAGACGAGACTGCATTGTTTTCGTTAATGTTTACAAAACCAGTGACTGATTGGTTCTACATATAAAACTGAAGAAAATAGGACCCTGTAGTAAAATTAATGTGAAAAAATTAATATGATTGTTTTAAGTAATGTTATTTAATGTTAATAAATGGAACAATAGAAGTAGCTAACCATTAATGGTAAAGAAAAAAGCGAGACTGCGCGTATGTAAGTGCGCACATGTGAAAACATATCGTCATTATTCTACATAAGAATATGAAAGCAACACTTCTGTTCATATATGTTTTAATTAATGTTTCTGAATTTCCTTTTGATTGAATTAATGTTTATATGTGTAAAATGAACAATACAATTCATTAATAATACACTGTACGTAGAATATTAAAACACACGAGGAGACGAGACTGCATTGTTTTCGTTAATGTTTACAAAACCAGTGTCTGATTGGTTCTACATATAAAACTGAAGAAAATAAGACCCAGGTTATAGCTGTAGTAAAATTAAATGTAAAAAAATTAATATGGTTGTTTTAAGTAGTGTAATGTTATCTAAGGTTAATAAATGGGACAATAGAAGTAGCTAACCATTAATGGTAAAGAAAAAAGGTGAGATCGAGTATGTAAGTGTGCACATGTGAAAACATATCGTCATTACTCAACATAAGAATATGAAAGCAACACTTATTTACTGTTGATTTAATTAACGTTTCTGAATTTAAAACAAAAATTCTACCCACCAGTGGTGGTAAAGTTGAAAACATAAAGACAGCCAATGTTGTTGTGTGTGTTTTTACTCAGATGACGAAGTTGCCAAGTCATCAGGTTCAACTCTAGCTGAAGCTGTAGAACATAAAAACTTTTTCTGTGTTGTTTTTTAGTTTTTATTTAACTTTATCTGTGTTATTTTCGTTGGTTTATTAAGATGTTGCTTTATTAGAGGTAGTAATTCGCCAAAAAAGTAGGGTAAAAAAGGCAAAGTTATGCCAAACATCAAAAGTACCAGACTCAAATTACTTTTCTCCATAGGAAGTTGTATTTAAATTTGGACGATTTGAATTTTGCGAGGCTTTTACAGTCTAAATAGGTGTCTAAATATGAGAGCCTACTGTACACTGAACTGTACATATTTCCTACTTTATAGTAATTTAATTATTTCCAACTTTTCTTCACCCCTTGTGTACGGGCTCTCCTCTGTGCTGAATAAAATCGTCTGGTGTTAGTAAGAGGGTGGTTAAGTGATCACCTGTGGTCCGGCAAATTCTTTCATCAGGCAAGGGGTCAGGTCCATGGGAGTTGAATTAGTGAGACCCAACCATACGAGCAAGTATACTATTTAATAAATTTCAGCGAGTTATGTGTCGCAGAGTTTAAATTTGCTTCGTAAAGTCATAGCAGTTATTCAGATGAAAAGTCTTACCTTTATTCTGGGGATGTCACTGAGGGGCAGTGCCTCAGGTGTAGCAGGTTCCTCTACATCAGCATTATCCGGTAGGACCACAATGTTGTCCTCAAGTGGCCTGAACATGGCTCCAAACACAACACAGTTGAGCATGATGCCAGAGATGATAATCAAAGAGTTCTGCCAACTCAGCTCATTTATCTGTAAAATTAAATTAGATGTGACGGGCAATACGGTATACTATATTTCTCTACACCTTCCAGTCAAATGGTTGTGCCACTCTACCATAAATGAGATAAGTTTTCCTAGATAGTTCATATGTACATAGTTATTCAAACACAAAAATGAAGAAATGAAAACTTAAGACTAAATGTTTTTGTGTATGTCTGTATATTTCGTTTACCACTGGTGGTTTATTTAATCCACTCATTATTCATGATATACTTATCTTTCAATGTACAGTCAGCCAAAGATCCAGCGACCCCACCCTGGCTTTTGTACTGGCAATTTTATCTGGCAATACTTGGTAAGTAAGGCTGTATGTAATAATGATTGTGATTGGTGGATCTATTTTCGGCTGTATCACTGTCAGGATCAATATTAAACAATCCAAAGGTAGAATTTTTGTAATAAAAACTATTCATCATTATTTTAGGTCATGAGAAGTTTCCATGTGTCGTATATTTGCGTAAATGCTGAAAAAAAATCGATCTGAGAATCTTGTGGCACTCCTCGTTGTAGTTGAGTTGTCAATTCATTAATATACTTTTTTCAATATTTAAGCAAATACGTATACGAATATATGGAAACTTATGATTTGTTCATTTATAAAGTTTGATTTACCCTTCTTAAATAATTGTCATGCAACAATACAAAGAAGATTTTTAGTTTATATCCATGTATATATTGAATAACACATCCTTGTTTAACATCCACATATTTCAAATGTTTCAATTTCTTTCCCATTTATTCTTACTGTTGCCCTGTTACTCGTATAGAATGCTTTTACTGCATGTAACAGCCTTCCTCCTACCTCAAATGCATGTAATACCTCCCACAATTCTTTTCTGTTTGCCCTATCATATGCCTTTTTTAATTTACAGCACTATAACTAAGTCATTAAAACCAACTGTAAATAATAAAAACCAGCAAACAGTTTATTAACCCATAAAGGGTCACATTATTATACATACATACATGATACTGCCCCCCCCCCCATCAGGAAAAATATATTTTTTGTTTTATGGCCCAAAAATCCCCAGATGCCCAAAGAAAACAAGAAATAATGGTAAGGTGGCAACTAGCCTCATTTAAAAGTGCTACTTGGCATTTAAATCCTGGGCTGGTGGGAGCCTACTGGCTCCCCGTCCTGTCACAGTACTTCTGCTCTGTCTTGCAGTCATGTATATACATAATGATTTTTTTTTCACGGAAAAAACAGAATAATATGATTGAAGCAGCATAACAAATGAACCTATAAAGATTTATGCAGTAAACATATGGATGTCTTTTTATTACAAGTGGTAACGCTGCACACTCAAGGTCGGCGGAGCCCTCCGAGGTATTTTCCGTCCCTCACGATTTATTTCCTTTACATATAGACAAATACAGTGATATCTCCATAAGCCGGAACAATTGGTGCAGAGCACTTCCGGGAATGAGAGATTTACAGGTAACGAGACGACTCTCTCAAAGCAGGGAAAAAATCCCTCATCCCAGAATTTTCTGGGTAATGGAAAAATGTTCTTGGAAGTTCCAGAAATTACTCATTACATCATCTCACAAACCCGGAAAAATATCCCTCGTCCCCGGAATTTTATGTGTCCCGCAAAATTTTTCTCGAAATTTCCTGAAAATGCGCTGATTTTCATCTCTCTCACACCCGGAAAAAACTCCCCCATTCCCGGAAATTTCCAGGTATTGGGAAAATTTTCCGGAAAATGTACCCCTCGGAAAATCGTTCCCAAAGCCGGGATAATCCGGAAAATTTTGGCTTTGGTAACGATTTTCTAAGGAAATTTCAATTCTGGCTATCGGAGAGTTCCGGGTTTGAGGGATTCTGGCAAACGGCAATACAGTACTTGTATTACTGTATTATTCGTTTATATTGTACTGTACTTAGATTATTATGGCAATATGCAGGGTAGGTCGGAGGAAGGAAGTATGTGGGAGGAAGGGAGCAGTGTGGGAAGGAGGGAGGGAACAGTGTGGGAGGGAGGAAGGGAGCCAGAGTAGGAGGGGGAAGGAGTATGGGTGGATCTAACCATGCAGTGGGACTGGGGGTGGTAGGGGTCGGTGAAGTGGAGGGAGTACTGGACGTTCCTGGAGATGAGGAGGGCAGCAACCCTCTCTCCTCCACTTGCCACTCATCATAGTCGTCGTCATTTCTTTCATCTTGTTCAAACACGTAGTACTGGTCATTATCATTATCATCACCTTCAATATCACTATCAATACATGCCTCTGTCAATACCATGTTCATCTTCACCCCTACCAAATAATTCAGAGTATGTATATCTCATCCTAATTGAGTTACGTTCATGTGCTATGGCTATGGAGACTCTACTGCGTAGGTAGTAGTAGGCAGCTACCAAACAGGGAGGTACTACTGCCTGGGAAGATATTGGAAGCATAATGTGTTGTCTAATGGTAGACCCTGCTGCCATGTGGCATCACGAAAATTGTGACCAAATCCCAGGTTGCTGATCTGACTCTCTGCCTCATTTACACACAATTGCAGAGTCATAATTTTTCTCTTACTTTTAACAACACAACATACATATTGTTCTTTATTATTATTATTACAGGCATCCCCCGGGTTACGGAAGGTATGTGTCCTTGAAAATTTATCTGTATCGTGAAACCAATTTTCCCATTTACTTGCATTATATACAGCTCCTCCCCGACATACGACGGGGCTAGGGACTCAAATCCAGTTGTAAGTCGAAATGGTCGTAAGTCGAAAATGCTTAAATAATACATAGAAAATCTAAAATGGGTGTCTCTTTCTTCTCAGCACCACAAAACTCTCACTTTTACGCTTGCCAGCCATTTTAAAGTGAATTACAAACGAAAATTTGGTCAGTACACAGAGCAATCACGGACGTTGGGACTAGATAATAAGTAATTTGACAAAATTTTGGTACGACTGAGGCAGTCATACGTCCGGGTGGTCGTAAGTCGAGTAAGTCGTAAGTTGGGGAGGAGCTGTAATTGGAGACGCGTTCTCAAAGAAATATTTTTGGCAAAAATACGTAATACTGTACAAGCTCATTTATGAATAATTATTATATTTTTAACACATACATTGATTATTTTATGATATAATATGATAATAAATATAAAAAACACTTGAATTTAAATTATCACAAACGATGTTGAGTGCTGCATTAGGTGAGGTGGTGAGGTAACATAGTGCAATCGGAGTTACTGGGAGGGAGACAGAGGGGCACTACTGGCTCCTGCCTCGCCCTGTACAGTATTGTAGCAACCACCAAGAAATCCACCTGAAATAAATTTTATAATTTCTGTGAATTTTTTTTCTGATAGTATTGAAAAATATATTAAAAAGTTACCCAATTTCCGTAAGGGTGAATTTTTTGTCCGTATTCCAAATTTATTGGTCACAATTTACAAAATTCGTAGGAGCGGATTTCCATAACCAGAGTTTCCGTAAACCGGGGGATGCCTGTATTATAATTTGTATTTATTTTTGTTATGTTACTACTATTGTTATTATATTTTCGCCTTCGCTATCTTCCATGGGCGATCGTCACTCCACAAACAACTATAGACCGGTGAGCCTGACCAGCATAGTATGTAAATACTTGAGAGTATTATCAGAGATACCGCAATGGAACATCTACTACGAAACAACCTTGTAAAGGATTGCCAACACGGTTTTATGCCGGGCGCTCCTGCTTAACACAATTGCTTCAGGTATTGGATATTTGGACCCATATTCTGGAAAGGGGTGGTGATATCGACAATTCAGTCGACCCTCGTTAATTCGGACCCCTTTAATCGGATTTCAGATAAATCGGACGAAATCTGAGCTGTCTGTATCAAATTTCTGGTTCTGGGATTGTCCCAGTTGCAATTGGGGTTGCAATTTCAAATTCCGTGTCATTACTAAGGAATAACGAAGTCTCTGGTGCAGTGCACTCTAAGATTAAGAGAAAACGGAAGACTCAGGCGTCCTGAAGCGAGAGAAAACGGACTCCTATGACGGGGCACTCAAATAAACATACATACACATAGCTACATGTTTTGTGGACCCCAAATTTTTTGGCAAAAAAATGGGGGTCGACCTCTAAAAGGGTAATAGTTTCGTTAGGTTGAAAAATATTTACCAGTAACTACCAGTAAACAATGGAAACGACGCACCACCAGCTGTGAGTGTCGGTACAGTTGCCAGGACAGATCTCTTGCATCATCATAGCAAGCCCAAAGTAGCCAAATGCATGGTATGGTAGCACAGGACTATGTAAAACATAAAGTATTCATTTTTAAAGTTTATTTATAGATGCACAAATTTTTGTTCATTGCATTTGAAACATTAATCTTTGTTAATTAAATTTGAAACAAAAGAAAACTACTATACAGTATTTCTAAATACAGGTTGCACCTCTCTAGTCCGGCATTCTGTGGTCCTGAAACTCCCGTGGTCCGGGACGATTTTAGTTTGTCCAATAGGTAGATAGGCAGCTTTTTTTTTTTTTTACTTATCTGAATTATTATTATTATTACTACAGAAGTATTAAATTTTTGCCCCTCAAGCCCCAATGTGGGTAAGTGACCTATGCCCGGGTGGGCTAATCCCCGTAAAAAATACAACAAGAAAGCCGCGGGAAATTAAGGTATGTTTACATCCGGCAGTTCGGCTGCTCGCTCTCTCTGCTTGTCTATACAGAGTACAACATTTAACCCTTCAATATATATGAGCAGAAAATAAGTGTTGCTTTCATATTCTTATGTAGAGCAATGACGATATGTTTTCACATGTGCGCACTAACATACGCGCAGTCTCACTTTTTTTTTACCATTAATGGTTAGCTACTTATATTTTTCCATTTATTAACATTAAATAACATTACAGGTACTTCAAGCAACCATATTAATTTTTTTACATTAATTTTACTACAGCTAAACTCAGGGTCTTATTTTCTTCAGTTTTATATGTAGAACCAATCAGTCACTGG